GGTCAAGCCTTTCGCCATATCATATTTTTTGGTGGGATTGTCGATGAAGCAAACGTATTTTTGCTATAACAATCGCCTACGTTAATTATTTTTCGTATGTAAATAGAGTTTTGAGACTACCAGTAAATCAGTACTATGAAATGTATTCACCCTATTTCGTTTAAGGTGATGAAGGACTGGATTGTTATAGCAAAATTACGTTTTCTTCATCGACAATTCCAGCAAAGAATGTGATATGACAAAAGGGCTGGCCTTCCTTAAAATTTACATCTGCCCTGTGACTCAAGGGCATTCGTAGCAATGTGGTCGAGTGATTAACGTGTCAAGCTCCCATTCTGCAATGTCACAGTTCGACTCCCGCTGGGGGTGTTAATAAGACCGATGCGAGGTCAAAACTACAGTCCACTCCAGCCGGGATGAGAACAACTTTTGGGGAGGCAACGCAATGGAAAATTCAATGGCAAAGTCAGCTCTACTCATATCATTGTGGGAAAATTCTACGACCAGTCCTTCATCAACTTAAACGAAATAGGGTGAATAGATCTCATATTATTGATTTACTGGTAGTCCATGTATCTAACAGACAATTTGGACGTCAGTATTGCTTCGTCAAACAAGCATTCCTCAAGTTTGGCCATTTACTTGCTCGACAGGACGGGAGTATAGCAAGATCCCATCGCAAGTCTTTGTGTCTGTTCATAAAACTTATCGCCAAAGGTAAATTAAGTGCTACTCATGGACATGTTAAGAAGACTAATAATAAAGACTATATTTAATATCATTCCTTGCTTAATCTATGAATGCTCCTATAGAATTTGCACTAGCGCCTCAATGGTTCTTTGAACAGGAATATCTTTAAAAGTTGTTTGAGCTTGTTTTTGGAACTTGGCCATATTGGCAGGAAGACCTTGAGACACTCACTTAGTCCGGAGTCCATAGAATGCATGATAATTTCCAGTCGGACCGTGAACGTGGTATATTTCCAGACGTTTCGCCGGCATCGTCAGTGCGCTTTACTAGTCTTAGCACCACTCTACTACTCGTCAAAGAGACAAGTGAAGCCGATCCTGTGACCAATTGTGCCAAGTCTATGACTTTCTTTTGCGTGCCGACCGAAAAATGTGATGGTTCTACTTTATATGAATAGGCCCACTTTCTGGTCTCCTTGCAATTTCTTTTCCTAAAATAAAAAATATTACCCTTTGTCAAGTCGTTTTCTTTTTGCTGATATTGCTGTTCTCTGATCTCTTCCGAGTTTGCTTAGGCGGTATGCAAAGTTTTCGCTAATCTTGCCTTCTTCAAGTCTTCCGTTCATTAAGTTTCTTTCAGTCAGGATATCAATGGCTTCTCGTATCTTGCGCTTTCTTTTATTTCCAACATATGCAGCCAGTCTTATTGTAGATTTACACTCCATTTCGTGTCCCGTCGGTGCGATGTAAGCCTCTATTTCTGGTCCTAACGTGAAATTTAACGCATGACACTTCCTTAATATAAGAAGAAAACTCTACTTGTGCAACATCGGAAGGCCGTAAACCGTGGGGCCCTAAAATCTCTCTGGACCAGTGAATTTAATTTCCCCTTTTCCATCGCACTTACGCATTAATTAAGTTCATCTTTAAGCCTAGTTTGAAGTTTCTCAGTTGTATCTCGCATCCAATGCACATAAGTATATGTATCAGTATCAATTAAATAAACTAGCATTTTTAAGTAACTTGATCTACCCATGACTACAACTGTCCACCTTTGTCGGCTATCATAACGATTAGATTATTACGTTAGAAACACAAAATTCCCTGGACATGATTATCTGGTCAAAATGAGGAATCGCCCCAGATCAATACAATTCTATGCCTCCTCAGACAATCTATTCGATTAAGTTAACTGCCTGGACAGGATTTTCTTGGTCTTAGTGTAAAGTAATGGACTCCGAAAAGTTCGGTGCCGGCATCTTCTTCTTAGATATGTAGATATGTAGACCAGTGCCCATCGGCACCTTCAGAAGTTGAAAGAAGTGATGACAATTATTAAAAAAATCTCGGAATGCCAACTTACTAAAGGCCTAGCCTAACATTTACTGTCGCAGAGTCCTTCTACCAAATATTACTTATTGAGGTAGAGGACAAGACTTCTAATAAAGTCCCATCTCTGAAGCTTCCAAAGAATACTTTTTCCAAGAAAAACTCCGTTTCTTAAATATGTATATAAATAAGAATAGCCTTTATTTAATTGACGAATGCGTCATTTATTCACCCAATAAGAGACACATCAAAAAAAGTGTAGGCCTTATGCTGAAACTAATGTATTTTTAGACGGCTAATTTTGATATGCAAGTAGATATCACTGAAAAAATTATCCTTTCATGTGGAGACAAGATAAGTGATAATGAGTGAAGAAGCAAAACGTTTTAAAATGCGTCAAATTTAGCAGTTAGCCTGTATTCTAAAATTATTCAAACATCTGCATATGGATAGGCATAATAGTAATATTTTATTGGGATTAAAAGGACCTGCAACAAAGAGTATCGCAACTATAAAAAGCGTTACAGCCACCAATGTACGTTGTTTCAAACATTTAGTGATAAATTTGTGTAAGATTAATTATATGATTCATTTATACTGATTCAGCCATGCCTAGTGGCTACTTCTAAATTTAACTTGCCAACTGCGAAGTAAATTACTTGAATAAAGGATAGAAAGGAATTGTACTCCATTAAGGTTTGTATGACTATTACAAAGAAGCCTATTATCTGGATTGCTGGAATAGCTCAAAAACGCACTAATTTACATTCCTTCAAACGCGGGAAAAGATTAAAAATACAATGAATGTTGGTATGTGGAGGCAGCGAAAGCAGATATTAGGTAAAAGTGCGTTGATAGGTAAGCGCTTTAAAGTAGTCGTGTTAGAAGCTGAAAGTTGCAATAAGAAGCTGAAATCTATCAAGTAACCCTGATTCCCAGGGATATTGCCTCATAAAAATATCTATGACTTGCTCACAGTTGTTCAGAGCCTATGGCTAAACATGAGCTCAGATTCAACGAGAGCATAGACGAAATATTTAGATTTTGCATCAATAGGACATGCCCCAAAGAAGCAATGGCATTTTCGCGATCTCAATTGGTTTACGAAGTTGCACCATTAACACATAGCTCGAGAGATAAACTATAAGTTTAGAGAGCGCCTAAAGTTAAAGTCGAGTTCCTGTGAATATTCTGCAGTTCAAAGTTCTTGAAGATTAGGCCTGAATGGTAGGAATTACATAAATAAATCAAGCAAATGAAAAAAATCCTCAAAAGAAGCTTTAACATTGTATAATCTTAAACAGGTGCGCCTACCTCATAACATTCGCAGTAGTTCTTCAAGCAGCTGGATCTCTTGCACTTGCATCCACGAATGTGTTGGGGAGTGGCAGATTCTGTAGACAAAAAGGGAGAAAAAAAAGCACAAAGAAGAAAGTGATAGGCCTTCGCGTACAAACACACAGTTTATTAGGTATACGTTGAATCAAAAGGCACAACACCATAAAAACCGAAGATTTCCGGGCTTACTAGTATAATTGGCGATTAACCTTTACAAAACTATTGAGCATTTTCTTCGTCAGCCAACTCTGAAATCTGACATCTGCATATTCACAAATTCACAAACACTACTAATGAGTAGTTCAATTATATGGAGATATTTTGCCTATCCTTACCTTGCTCTGATAATGTTCGTCATATGACGGACGAAAGCTTATCACCTTTTCACCGGAATCGATAG